GGTATCCTATTGGTTCCTGAGCAACATTTCACTTTTTTTTTTAATTTCTTTCTCTTTCTGTTCTTTGGATTGTATACAGGTTTCTCCTGCTTTCTGAAACTTTGTGTTATACTACTTTGCTTTGATGAAGACCTATGTTAGTACAGTAATAGCTCTTTTCATAAAAGTGAAAATCCTTTTGGATTTCTTTGAATTAGCAAAAATAGGTACTAACTAATAGAGGTCTTTCATAAAAGTAAGGTGGTGTAATGCAGACTTTTGGAAAACAGAGAATACTCTTTGCTTTATACCATTTTGGCTTTTTTTTTTTAATTATGTTATGTTAGTCACCATACTATACATCATTAGTTTTTGATGTGATCCACGATCCATTGTTTTCATATAACACACAGTGCTCCATGCAGTATGTGCCCTCCTTAATACCCATCACTTGGGCTAACCCATCCCGCCACCCACCTCCCCTCTAAAACCCTGTTTGTATCTCAGAGTCTCTCATGGTTCTCTCCCTCCGATTCCCCCCTTCATTTTTCCCTTCCTTCTCCTAATGTCCTCCATGCTATTCCTGTGTTCCACAAATAAGTAAAACCATATGATAATTGACTTTCTCTGCTTGACTTATTTCACTTAGCATAATCTCCTCCAGTCCCATCCATGGTGATGTAAAAGTTGGGTATTCATCCTTTCTGATGGCTGAGTAATATTCCATTGTATATATGGACCACATCTTCTTTATCCGTTCGTCTGTTGAAGGGCATCTCAGCTCTTTCCACAATTTGGCTATTGCGGACATTGCTGCTGTGAACATTGGGGTGCATATGGCCCTTCTTTTCACAACATCTGTGTCTTTGCGGTAAATACCCAGGAGTGCAATTGCTGGGTCATAGGGTAGCTCTATTTTTAATTTTCTGAGGCACCTCCACACTGTTTTCCAAAGTGCCTGTACCAACTTGCATTCCCACCAACAGTGTAAGAGGGTCCCCTTTCTCCACAACCTCCCCAACATTTGTTGTTTCTCTCCCTGTCCATTTTTGCCATTCTTACTGGTGTAAGGTGGTATCTCATTGTGGTTTGGATTTGAATTTCCCTGATGGCTAATGATGATGAACATTTTTTTCATGTGTCTGTTACCATTTTTATGTCTTCTTCAGAGAAGTGTCTGTTCATGTCTTCTGCCCATTTTTTGACTTGATTATTTGTTTTTTGGGTGTTGAGTTTGAGAAGTTCTTTATAGATCTTGGATACCAGCACTTTATCTGTAGTGTCATTTGCAAATATCTTCTCCCATTCTGTGGGTTGCCTCTTTGTTTTGTTGACTGTTTTCCTTTGCTGTGCGGAAGTTTTTTATCTTGATGAAGTCCCAAAAGTTCATTTTTGCTTTTGTTTCACTAGCTTTTGGAGATGTATCTTGAAAGAATTTGCTGTGGCCGATGTCAAAGAGGTTACTGCCTATGTGCTCCTCTAGGATTTTGATGGACTTCTTTCTCACACTGAGGTCTTTCATCCATTGGCTTTTAAAAGGTTTCAAAGAAAAGCTCTACTTTTGGATAGTGGGGGAAACTTGTATTTTGACTTATCCTATCTTTAAGTAAGCTGATTCTTCTTCTTGCCCAAATCTGTTGATCCCTTCAGTGAATTTTTAGTTTTAGTTAGTATTTCTTAGATCCCTTGAGTTAGAATTGTTAGTCATTCCCCAAATTTATTTTTTGGTCCCTTTCTTACTTTATCTTCATTGATATTTTCATTTATTTATACATTGTTTTTCAGGTTTCCTTTGGTTTTCTTTGAGCTCTTTGAGTGTGTTTTATATAGTATATTTAAGATCTGTTAGGTCCTATATCTGGACCTCTCAGGGATCACTTCTTTTGGTTTATTATTATTTTTTCTTGTGAATGACCCATGTGTTCCTGTCTTATTTGTGTATATTGTGAGTTTTGTTGTTGTTGCATACTGGACATTTGGATATTATAATGTGATAACCACGGAAATCAGATTCTATCCCTTACCACAGGTTTGCTGTTTTTGATCCTAAAGGCTGCAGTCTGTGTTTTTAGTGGCTTTTCCAGACTGTTTTTGAAAAGATTGTGTTCCACGTCCTATGTGCTCACTGACATCTCTTCTTTTACTTGTGTTCAGATAGTGTTTTGTTAGGGAATTCCTTGAATGCCAAGAACTAAAAATTAAAAATAAAGAAAATAAATAATAAGCCAGTCTTTGCACATTTCCTTTGTGTTAAGAGACTCATTCATCAGTTAACCAAGCTCTTTACAGCTAGCTCTGTCTTAGCCTGGAGAGTAGAGGTGAAAGCGTGGAAATCCTTATGTCTTTTGTACGTGTGTCCTACCCTGAGCATATTCATGGCTTTCTATATGTCCCAGCATACACAGACACTTTTGAATGCTCTCATTTCCCAAGGAACCTCTCTCCTCAGCTCTTTCTCCTGGGCATTAAGCTGTCTATATTATGTCTTAGCTATAATCTTTTGCTTCAAGTAAGTGAAGACTTTTAGTTCACTTTACAATATTTTAGCAATGCTGTTTTTTTAAAATCCCCGGGTGAAAAAGAGACATGTACCTTGTGTCAACCCTTCATGTAACTGACAGACAGACAGATCAGAACAGATAGATACCTTAGTTTGTTAATGATGTCTCTGCTCCTTCCAGACGGAAGGAGGAGGGTCCTGCAAGAGTGCTGCTGAGATGGGGAGGGGTGGAGCAAGGTTGGGTAAAAATGCCACAAAGGTTTCCTGCAAGTTACAAGTTGGCTTTTTTCTTGATTCATTGTTCTCATGGTGATTGTAAACCTTCTACTGTATTCTAGACTACTGAGAAAGTTGGTTGTGAGTTTTTGCTTGTTTTTTCGTGTTTCTGTGAAGGGAATGGAGTTTGGAGTTGCCTACTCTGCCATTTTATTGACACCATTTGACCATCCTTCTTTTCTGTTAAGTCCTCCCCGCCTATCTTTTTGCCTTTTTGGGAAGTTTCTTCTCCTCTTCCTCACTCTCCCCTCTGCCCTAGTTCTTTTTAGGAAGGTTGATTTTATTTCTAGTCTTTATTTCTTTTGTAGTTATGGCCATTTTAAAATTCTATATTCTTCCTTGTGGTTTGGATGTTCAGGAGTTGTTCCCCCCCCCCCCCATTGAGGGGAATTGAAAATTGGTGAGATATCTAAAGATCTCTTTGTGCTTTACTGCTGAACCACCAGTTTTCTGAACTGAGGGAGAGCATGTGTTCTTTCTCTGTCTCTTCTTTGCTGCGTGGTTGCTAGTTCTCTTTGTTCTCCAATCCTTTCCGCAATCTCCTGTGCCAATGGAGAGCTCTCTTCTGTCTACCCTACTGTGAACCTTGGTGTAGAGCTGCTTCTTACTCTCTGAAGCCCTGGGTTGCCTCCAGGGGTTTCTCCTGGCTTTTCTGTGCTACCTCCAGCGTTCAGTTGTTGAATATCTTGAATGCCTCAGAAGGAGCTCTCTGAGCTTTCTTGCCCTGCTCCCCATCTACAGTGGTTAGCTGCAGTGTGCTCGGGGAGATGCTGCACAACTCACAGGTTCATCTCTCTCCATGCTCCTGCTGTTCCCCCAGCCTTTGGTGCACTGACCGTATAACCTGGGATCAGGCGGGTGTTGTCTCTTTGCTACAGGTTTCCCTTGGAATTTTCTTTCATTACTCCAGGCCACATGCAGTCTTCAGGGTTTGGCTGGTTTCTCCTTACCCTGTCTAGTGCAGGTTCTTTATCCTTCTGCATCTTCACCAGGCTTCTGAGCATGTCATTTGAGTCTCTTCTGTCTCATGAATGTCTTGTCACTTTCCCTTTTTAGTTCATTTAGGTTTTTTCTTACCCCTAATTCTTTTTTTAAAAGTATGATTTTGTAGTTAATCTGGCTTATTTTGACTGGTGTGAGAATGATCATTATCTTATGAACTTCTACTTAATATCAGAATGTTTTTAAAAATACTTCAGTGATACTGCTCTCAAAAATAGAGAATATGTGTTTATCTTTTTTTTGTATAATAGTAACTATAATGATGGTAAACATTAAGTACTTATGAGTAGTAGTAGGCATCTTGGTGAACACTTTAAATGCATTATCTCATTTGATACTCACAAACTTGAGAATAGGTATTGTTAATCATTCGCATTTTACTGATGAGAGATTAAGTAGGTAGGTCATTACACAGCTAGTGAGTGGTACTTTTGAACTCAGGGCTGTCTGTCTCTAGGGCAGAGTTTGCAAATTCACATCCCTAAGTGGGGCAGATATGTAATATAAATGCAAGAAGAGAGTAGTGCATGAAAAAATAACAAAGCAAGCAGCATGATGAATGACAGTTACCATTCAGCTTAGGTACTGGTGGCAAAGTCTTTTGGAAAATACATGCCTCATTTAAAGGGTTTGGTCACTTTTCAGTTCCAGCCAGTTGTTGCTTTGTGAGAATATGGGTCCAATATTTCAGATTTTCTGACTTTTCAATAGAAGCCAGAAATCTGTATTTTTTATCTGAAACAACTCAGTTTCTAAATTGTTGCTGCTGGTTCAGGTAAAAATAAAATCTGATGTGGAGATATACATGATAAGTCTGAAGTGACACATGTCTGCAGGCCCAGTCTGTTCTCTGGGAAGCCAGTTTCCAATCTCTGGAATAGAGCCTGAGCTTTCTTTCAGCCACTTGCTCTTGCTGTCTCCCAGTGCCCACCTTACTGCCTTCCTTTCACATATGTGCTAAATAAATTAAAGAAATGAGGACCTGCTCTTGAATGAATGTATTTTACTTACTACTGTTATGCAGCTGTGCTACTTTAGATTGAAACTATGAAGACAGTACTTCGAAACATATTTTTAAAAACATCCTGAATTCTGTTTTATCTTCATAAGCAATAGAGTTCCATTGAAAGGCATATCTTAGAGTGAGTTGATGTGAGGGTCTTAAGTTTACTGAATGCCTAGTTTATTCTTACTCATTAATCATGACTTTCCCTCTCTTCTGCCCCCCCTTTTTTTGACATAGCTTTCACTTTCAGAAGAACAGAATGAAATAACGAAAAATGGCTGTGAATCTAAAGAGCTGGTCTACCTCGTGCACATTGCTTGTCAGGTAATTTTGTGGATGTGTAGATTCCTTTTAATGCATTTTTTACAGCATCTAATAGAATTCACAGAAAGATACTTGTATGATATTGAAATGAAATTGGACTATGTATGACCATTGTTTGGTATCCTTTAAAAAAGAGATAAATGTGTTCATACAAAATTACATGGAATGCACAATTTAGTATTGTAACTTGCATATCTTCTGTCTGCACTTTAAGAAAGTTTTTAAGGCTTTAGACATTTGTGGACGAGTAACAGTGACTATGGTAACACAGATGTTTTGTGTTATTCTTTCTCCCAGTCATATTGGTGATTCTGCATGTACTCAGAATCGAAACAATTAATAGAATCAGTCCTACAGATATTTAATTTACAAACTTAAATGAAAACTCTTCTTGTAAGAGTAAAGGAAATACATCTTTTATTGATGATAAGATTAAATGAATCAGCTACTTGTCACCTATTACAGTAAAAGAGCAAACGAAGTTTCAGTTGTCTCTGCCTGAGATGCTCACTTTTCTACCAGGCAGGAAGTTTCACTGTAGTGGATGTAGTGTGTGTATGTGTATGTTTTAGAAGGGGACTGTTTCTTGACTCTTAGTGTTAGAACTTTTGTGAGGATAATTACTGTGACTTCTCTTAATGAGATTTGAAGTAGGTCATTTGTAGCATTGATTATTTCCTCCACCAAGTAAGTAGTTTAGTTCTTTGCTTACTTTACTTTCATCAAGCCTTATGCCTAGTTTTGAATTAGTGATTGTGAAGTAACTGTTTTTGAGAAAAGCTTTTTTTTGTGCAAAGTTTTTAGTTTTCTTTGGGAAAGACTAAGATAGGGGCATTTATGGGTTTCCCCCCCCAAAAAAAGTATTATTCTTGTACCTGAAGTTAAAAATTACATAATCTTGAAAAGTAATGCTTATCTCATGTGGGAAATACCTGAGTTCTTAGTGTTGGTGATTTTAAAGAAAACCTTTCAGAATTAAGTGCTTTTATTTATTGGTGTCAGAATATGAGATTGGAAATTGAATTTAGCTTGTATATAAATAAGATGGCCAAGGTTTCATATTGTTAATATATGTTTTATTGTGTATCATCTCGGTTCCTTTGAGGAAGTAGGCAGCTCTGAATCACTAAGTTTCGTGTCATGTTTCATAAAATGCTTCTTTTTCATGACTTTTTTTTCCCCAAGATTTTATTTGTTTATTTGACAGACAGAGAGAGGGAGAGAGAGAGAGCACACATAAGCAGGGGGAGTGGCAGACAGAGGGAGAAGGAGAAGCAGGCTTCCCACTGAGCAGGGAGCCCAATGCGGGACTCAATCCCAGGACCCTGGGATCATGACCTGAGCCGAAGGCAGATGCTTAACCGACTGAGCCACCCAGGCGCCCCATCATGACTTAATTTTTAAGTGAAAATAACACGTGTTTTGGTGAACCATTACTCATACATAAATATAAATCATATCTTCTTTATCTAGAGCACATGATTGGCATGTCAGTAATGAATTCAGTAATCCCTCTATAACCTAACATCTTTTAGCATCTTTCCTTCTCACCATTAATTACCATATGATCTGACAAAGCAAATAGTTTTATTCTCATGAGTGAAACGTAGTGTCACAAGCACTTGTGTTTATTTTTTTAAGTGACCTTCAAAAGGTAAGCATGGTATTTTGGAACCATATGTCAGAATGTATAATCGTCACTTAATTATGCTTGCATGAATTAGTGACCTAGCTAGTTAGGCTATTTCCTCGTTGCAAGTATCTTGTCAATCTGCTTAAAAAATTTCAGACTACTCAGTGTACTATTCATTACACCAAGTAGTAATTTACTGCAATGTAATAATGCCACTGCACTTCTCTGCAGTTCTGTAAGTGATCACTGAGGCACCCCCATGGCTTACTTTCTGTATTCTTGCCAAATGTGTCAGCCATAAATCATATTAAATTGGAATCCTATATTTTTTTATAACTAATATTATATAGACTCATAATCAAGCCCTCTCATTTTGCCAATGAGGAAATTGAGACCCAAATTACTGATGTGGCCTTCCTAAGTTATATGAAATCTTAGCAGGAACTGCTAAGAACGTCAGTTTCCTGATTGCCAGTTTTTCCTGCATGCACTGGAATTCACAATCTAGAACAGGTTTAAGAGATTGCTTAGTCTTCAGATAAGATACGATCACCATTACATGTTGATATGTTTTCATATATTGCATATTTTTGCTAATTTCTAATTTTTAAAGTACACTCGAAATTCTTTTTATTTAACCCACTCTTCTCTTGTTCTTTAATCTTAGAAAATGACCGATTCAACAACTGTGATTTTTTTTTTTCCCACCTTTCTGGAGGTTCAGTAATACTGATTCTTTTAGGTCTTATCTTTGAAACTTTTAATTGTGCTCTTGCCTCTGCCCTTCAAGGTTTTGTTTCTTGTTAAATTGTGAATTTAGAAATGTAAACCATGTCTTTCATGCTGAAATGATCCAATTCAGTAGGCATTTTGATTATCTGTGTGTCTAGTATACAGGTGTTGTGACATGCAGTACAACATTTCATTCTTTCAACAACTGTGTGAGGTAAATAGTCTGTTTTTCATTTTACAGCTGATGAGTCTGAGACTCAAGAATGTTAATAACTTCCCCAAGGTCATAAAATTAAAGAGAAAGACCAGGATTTGAACCTCAGTCTAGTGTTTTTTTCCCCTATTCTTCTGTCATTTTCTAATATGATTTATAGTTGATTAGCTACTCTGAAATCTGCAAGCATATCCTAAATGTTAATAAAGAATTACAGAAATGTACTGAGAATGCAGTCAAGTTTCTTTGCATGACTTAAGTGGAGAGAGTCTAGACACCATTCCTATGTACATATTTGAAGACAGATATATGTATCTTTTTTTTCTGATTTAGATATAGATATAGGTTTTTAGGATAAAAATATGTTTAGAAATTTTGGAAAATATGAGAAATGGAGAAAAAAGAAGAAAATTGCCATAATACTACTACCCTGAGATTGCTTGTTTACATTTTTGCCGATTTTTGCTTTGTTTTACATAGTTGTATTTTATAATTGAATTCAGGGATATATATATAATTTTACATAATTTTTATTTATAAAGCATTCCTCCATGTTATTATAATCTCTCTGTAAACATTAGTTAATTAATTTACTATAGTTGACATACAGTATTATATTTAGTTGTAGGTGTACCAACATAGTGATTTGACATTTATGTACAAAATGATCACCATGATAAATAAATTTACCATCTGTCACTGTACATAGTTATTACAATATTATTGACCGTATTCTTTATGTTGTACTTAATATCCCTGTGACTTACTTATTTTATAACTGGATGTTTGTACCTCTTAATCCCCTTCATTTATTTCTTGCATCCCCCATATGTCTCCCCTCTGGCAACCACCAGTTTGTTCTTTGTATTTATGAGTCTGCTTCTCTTTTGTTGTTTGTTTGTTTTGCTTTTTGGAGTCCACATAAAAATGAAATGTTAAGGTGTTTGTCTTTCTATGTCTGACTTATTTCACTTAGCATAACACCCTCTAGGTCCATCTGTGTTGTCATAAATGGCAAGATTCCATTCTTTTTTAATGGCTGAGTAATATTCCATGTACCTATATTCCATAACTTCTTTTTATTCACTTATCTCAATGGATACTTAGGTTGCTTCCATATCACATTTATTGTAAATGATGGTGCAGTGAACATAGTGGTGCATACAATATCTTTTTCAATTAGTGTTTTGTTTTATTTGGGTAAATAGCCAGATGAGGAATTGCTGCATCATATGGTATTTCTGTTTTTAAATTTTTTGAGGCATTCCCATACTATTTTTTATAGTGTTTCCACCCATTTACATGCCCACCAACAGTACATGAGGGATTCCTTTTTCTATATGTTTGGCAAAAATTGTTATTTCTTGTCTTTTTGATACTATCCATTCTGATAGGTGGGAGTAACATCTCAATGTGGTTTTGATTTGCATTTCCCTGTGATCAGCAATGTTGAACATTTTTTCATGTGTCTCATGGCCATCTCTATGTCTTCTTTGGAAAAATGTTTATTCAGTTCCTGTGCCCATGCCCATTTTTTAAATGAGATTTTTTTTCTGTCTTGAATTGTTTGAATTGTTTATATATTTTAGATATTAACTCCTTGTCTGATAGATCACTTAAAAGTACCTTTTCCCTTTTAGGAGTTGCCTTTTCATTTTGTTGATGGTTTCCTTCTCTGGGCAAAAGCTTTTTAGTGTGCTGTAGTCTCAATTTTTTATATTTGTTTTTGTTGCCCTTGTCTGAGGAGACAGAGCCAAAAAAAATACTGCTAAGACTGATGTCAAAGAGTTTATTGCCTGTGTTTTCTTTTGGAAGTTTTATGGTTTCAGGTCTTACATTTAGGTCTTGAATCCATTTTGAGTTTATTTTTGTATATGGTATAAGGAAGTGGTCCAGTTTCATTCTTTGCCTGTAGCTGTCCAGTTTTCCAAACACCGTTTATGGAAGCAACTGTCTTTCCCCATTGTATTTTTTTAGCTCATTTTTCATTGATTAATTGACCATATAAGCATGGGTTTATTTCTGGGCTTTCTACTCTGTTCTGTTGACATATATGTCTCTTTTTGTGTCAATACTATACTATTTTGATTATGATAGCTTCAAAGTGTAGTTTGAAATCTAGGAGCATGATACCTCCAGCTTTGTTCTTCCTCAAGGTTATTTTGGCTGGGTCTTTTGTGGTTGCATACAAATTTTAGAATTTTTTGTTCTAGTTCTGTGAAAAACACTATTGGTATTTTGATAGGGATTGCATTGAATCCATAGATTGCTTTGGGTAGTATGGACATTTAAACAATATTAAATCTTCCAATCATGAGCATGGTGTATCTTTACATTTATTTATGTCATCTTTACTTTCTTTCATTGATATCTTACAGTTTTCAGAGTATAGGTATTTCACCTCCTTGGTTAAATTTATAT